TTTACAATAGCCAAGAAATGGAAGCAACCTACGTGTCCATCAGTAGATGAATGGATAAAGAAGATGTGGTACATATACACAATGGAATATTATTCAGCCATAAGAAGAAAACAAATCCTACCATTTGCAACAACATGGATGGAGCTAGAGGGTATTATGCTCAGTGAAATAAGCCAGGTGGAGAAAGACAGATACCAAATGATTTCACTCATATGTATAAGAACAAAGAAAAACTAAAGGAAGACAACAGCAGCAGACTCACAGAACCCAAGAATGGATTAACAGTTACCAAAGGGAAAGGGACTGGGGAGAATGGGAGGATAGGGAGGGATAAGGGCAGGGAAAAAGAAAGGGGACATTACGATTAGCATGTGTAATGTGGGGTGGGGGGGCACAGGGAGGGCTGTGCAACACAGAGAAGACAAGTAGTGATTATACAGCATCTTACTACACTGATGGACAGTGACTGTAATGGGGTTTCTAGGGGGGACCTGGTAAAGGTGGGACCCTAGTATACATAATGTTCTTCATGTAATTGTAGATTAATGATAACAACAACAACAAAAATCTACTGATCAGTGTATAAAGTTGATGGGAAAAAATGGTTCAACGATTGGTAGAAAGAGGAAGATCCTTGGATGATGCAAGAAAGAGGCCCAAGCAGTTCCATGAAGCTTGGAGTAAACTTATGGAGTGGCTGGAAGAGTCAGAAAACTCTTTGGATTCTGAACTGGAAATCACCAATGATCCAGACAAAATAAAAACACAACTTGCACAGCACAAGGAGTTTTAAAAATCACTGGGAGCCAAGCATTCTGTCTATGACACCACCAACAGAACTGGATGTTCTCTGAAAGAGAAAACCTCCCTGGCTGATGACAGCCTGAAACTGGATGACATGCTGAGTGAACTCAGAGAGAAATGAGACACCATCTGTGGAAAATCTGTGGAAAGACAAAACAAGTTGGAAGAAGCCCTGTTATTCTCTGGACAATTCACAGATGCCCTACAGGCCCTCAATGACTGGTTGTATAGAGTTGAACCCCAACTGGCAGAAGACCAGCCTGTCCATGGAGACATTAGTTTAGTGATTAATAAGGTCAAAAAATCACAAGGTCTTCCAAAAAGTGCTGGAGAAGAGGGCCAGCAGCATGCAGGCCCTGGAGCGCTCAGCCTGAGAGCTCACAGAAGGCAGCCGAGACGACTCCTCCTGGGTCAAGGTCCAGATGCAGGAGTTAAGCACACGCTGGGACACCGTGTGCACACCTTCTGTATCAAAGCAAACATGGCTGGAGGCGGCTCTGTGTCAGGTGGAAGAGTTTAACTACGTGGTGTACCCCCTGCTGGAGTGGCTATCAGACGCAGAGGAGACACTCCTTTTCCATGACGTTCTCCCAGAGGATGAGGATGGTCTTCGGACTCTCATTGATCAGCATAAAGAATTCATGAAGAAACTGGAAGAAAAACAAGCAGAACTAAATAAAGCTACCAGCATGGGAAACTCTCTGCTGGCCCTCTGCCCCCCTGACTGCAGCATCACCTTTAAGCACTGGATAACACTCATCTGGGGCAGGTTTGAGGAGGTGCAGGCGTGCGCCCAGCAGTATCAGCAGAGGTTAGTTGGCGCCCTGGCTGGGATCCTCACTATGCAGGAACTGTTGGAAGCTCTGCTGGTGTGGCTGCAATGGGCCAAAACCACATTGAGTGATAAGGATAAGGAAGTCATCCCCAGGAAACTGAGGAGGTGAAAGCCCTCATTGCAGAGCACCAGACCTTCATGGAGAAATGACCAGAGAACAACCCGATGTGGATAAAGTTACCAAGCCCTATAAGAGGAGAGCAGCTGATCCCTCTTCATTACAGTCCTATATTCCGGCCTCAGATAAGGGACAAGCAGGAAATAAGCAGTGGTCAATTTCTTTAAAATAAATATGGTTAAGCAAGAAAAAGAAAAAGAAAAAAGAAACAAAATTCAGCCAAGTTGTTTCTGCCACCTTGGAGCCTATAGAGGGCTACTGGGAACAGGACTTCTGAACCAGAAAGTACATCTGGAAGGCTGTGGTCCAAGGCCGTTGTTGCTGGCTATGAGCAGGGTCTCTGGAACCAGAGGGAACCCACAGCTCTTCTTAAAACTGAAGGTGTTTACGCTCAGATGAAACTGACTTCTATGTAGGCAATAAATGTACAGAGCAAAGAAGAGCACAGTGACTCCTAGTGGCAAGCCAAACAAAACTGGATTCTGAACTGGAAATCACCAATGGAGTGATTTCCTGGAGTAAACCTGGAGTAAACTGGAGTAAACCTGGAGAAATGTAACTTGTACCCATGGAAGTGCAGCCTAGTTCCTGACAAATTCTGAAGCAACCTTCCTACTAACACCATTGAGCATAGAATCTGTGTGATGCTGTACCTTCAAGGATTTAAAATTATTGAAAAGTAAACAAATAGCAGTGTGTATTTGTTAAAAAAAAAAAAAAGGAAGAAGAAACAAACACAATTTAGGCCTGACCTGACTTGGGGATGTATCGTTTTATGACAAACTACCCAGGAGCGGAATCTGTGCCTTTCTTTCTGCCTTCCAAGGCATTCAATAAATGTCAAATTGAACTGAAATGTCAAATTAAATCAATGGTGAAATTTCAAACCAAACCGGCTTACGAGTGAGTGGATGGGCCTGCTGTTAAATAAGACCACGAGGCCTGAAATGCTCTGCAGCCGCTGTGTAGCCACACATGCACAATTTATGTGTGTTTCGGAAAAGGAAGTCCTCATCCTCCCCTGTGACTTTGTGCCCAAACCAGAGCACGCAACTTGACTTATAGGCACATTTGTAGACTGATCCCACAGACGTTTAACATTCTAACAGAGAAAAAGGACAATGTGGGTCTGAAAACCATAAGGCCAGGAATGCATGTTCCTCTCTGGCCTTGGGAATAATGACCTCAGGAGATAGTGTGATTGACTCAGGAATGAACAAGACCATTACTAGCAGAAGGAAGTAGCCACTATCCTTTTAATAATTAAAAAAATAATAGTATGAATGTATTAAACACAGACACCAAGTTGAGGTCTGGTTGTTAGACTAAGGAAACCTACCAGTAACCATCCAGTTCAATTCAGGAGTTTTAGCAATGCTGCCCCAGGAACTGTGATCAGTTTGGATGTTGAAACACACCGGCAATTCCAGTAAAAAGTCCAGGGAACTCAAAGTTTAAGGTATGAAAGGCTGTGAGAAGAAGATAGATCATCATCAGGCAGGTGTCAGGAGATCAGGATCATTAAAGTCAATATTGTACTGAGTAAACAGGAGCAAAGTCAGGCCCTTGACAAAGCAGGACTCTCCAAAGTGGGGGAAATAAAATATTAGAACTTCTATCCTTGTACAGTGAGATGAGGAAAGAAAGTGTCAGAACTTCTCTTTGTATTTACATTATAGAAAAGTAAAACTCTAATATGGGCTTTTTCAAATGTGTACAATATAGAATATAGTAGCCCATATCTATAATTTGTGAATTAAATATTCACATACTGGGGTATATGCTAATTTTTTTAACTTGTACATATTCAAATATGCTAGATTTTAAACTCTATGATAAAAGCGACCATCTATCTTGAAATCCCAGGACCTAGTACAGTAGGTATACAATAGGCGATAAGTAACAGCTCCCGAGGGCAGGGGGCAGCCTGGAGGACTGGCTGCACATACGGTGGGGCCCATGGCCGCAGCCGTCCAGCCAACCTCAAGTGCATGTGACTGCGCCTGCTGGAACCAGGGGGCCCTACAAACAGTGCTGGGTACACCCGGGCAGTGCAACTATTCCCCAGGAAGAGAGTGATGTGTTTTTGGACCTGACACAAACTCTGGAATACATATAAATGTGGTGTGATGTCCTGGCCTTCTATACAACTGACCTTAGCATATGAGGTCTGCCAGGGAAGGTTGGTGACTTTAGCAAAATTTGTTATTCAGCATCTCTAAATCTCAGCTTCTTTATCTATGAAGTCTAAATAACAATGTCTATCTCAAAGAACAGTGAAATGATGTATAATAGTAACACACAGAATGATGCCTGCCCAGACAGGCCATCAATAAATGTCAGTTTCCTTCTCTCCAGCATCTAATATACTGTCCTGTACATAACGACTAAGATCATTAGGGTTGTATGTGTAGGGGCTGGGGAGAGGTGTAAAATTAGGGACATCATTAATCATGATGGATGTTGCAGGAAGACATAAACAAAAGTATATTGATATTTCAGGCGCAAGAAGTCATAAGCCAGTTAGGTAGTTTTATTAGAGTTACCTGAAGAATACTCCTGTTTCTTTTTCTGACAGCCTACCCACACCCACATTCATCAACTACCATGTCTTCATAATGTCGTAAAATGACATTGTCATTGTTGTCCTGATAGAGCATGGAAATTGGGGACAGCTTGATGGGGATACAGACAGCCTGGGGGATCTCTGGGTCAACTGCTTGCATTAGCGCTTGCATGAAAGCATAATTGGAGCTGTTGAGGGAGGTGGTCAGTGAGAAAGGACACTCTCCATGGCAATAATTTGCCATGAACCCCCTGGGAGCAATGATCCACTTGTGCCAGCCCAGGTCCTGGAAGCTGATGAAGAGCTGATGACGATGGCAGAGGTTCTTGCAAGGGGCCTGAGGGGCGGGGATGGCTGCCCTCCTTTTTCGGGAGGAAGGGCCGCACTGCTCAGGGCTGAGAGTCACCAACAGCAGGGAAGCATGGAGGGAGCGCCGCAGTCTGGCACAGGTGTCCTTGAGCTGAGAGTCCACCCCGGGGTCTCTGTCTCCTTTGACCCGTATCTCCAGGAACAAACCCGAGTTCTTCTGGGGGTTGTCGTTCCAGTCCTTAGCCACATGCAGCAAGTTGAAGTGAAGGACGCCTTGAGGCCATGGTACGGTCTGCAGTACAAACACTTTACCTGGCTTAGGGAAGGACCTGCCCCACCCAGGAGGCTCCCGAACCAGGGACAGAGCCAGCTCCAGGTCTGGTCCCGGGTTATAGTAAGTGCTGGGCCCCAAGTCCAGGCCCAGCTGGGCCATTGTTAACTGCTCCTTATCTTTAGTAGTTGACAGGTTAAAGTAGAGGAGCTTCTCCAGGCAACAGGAGGCTTGGGAGGGTTGCTTGGAGTAAAGAAAGACACCTACATGGTAACAGAGAGACATGAGACGCACCATATTTTGTTTCATATCCACCTATATGATAAAAATATCAGATGTTATATGTACATCCACATATACAAATAAGGGCAGGAAATCATCACTTCTGCTCAAACCATATGGTTTAAAGAAACCCTCCTTCAAGGCCAGAGGTTCTTAGCTTCACATCTACAGGTTCCCAAGGGGTCCTGGATGGAACTTAGAAGGTGCCTGAACTTGGATGGGAAAAAGAATTACATTGGCTTCAAGAGACCTGCCAAAGGGGCCCCTGGCACAAAAATGTTTAAGAACATCCTAGGCTGTCGGGTGTTGCTGGCCAAAATCTAACCACTTTGATTGACTTCAAAATACACTCTCTCCCCCAGCCAGCTCCAGCCTTCCAGAAACCCCTATGTCTTATCCTTAGGTAATGCCTTATCCAAAGCCCATGGTTGTCAGTATCAACAATTTCTAGTCTGGTATCTCTGAGTAATTCGTCTCACTGAATACTGAGGTGCACTTTCCCCACATGGACCCCCTTCTCTGTACTTTTTGAAGTGTAGATGAGCTCTCACTGTTTTCAGAGCCAACTTTTCTACCTGGACTTTCAAACCTCACCTATTCCTCTGAGGAAAAGGCACAATAGACTTTAGTGGGTTTTTGTTTTCTTTTGTTCTGTTTTTTGGCACCTTCAAGTTTTCCCTCCCTGGGAATAACTTCTTTGGCCTAGAGCTATCATTGTTTGGTGGGGTAGCGCCACCCTAATTAGGGGTAGAAGGTCATCCAGCCTGTGGATAAACTATAACAGAACCGGAATGTTATAACCACACTACCATAATGCCTCTTAATTCCCAAGTCTCATTTAAAAAAATGACAGCATTTAAAAAGCGTTTAGCATCTCTCCTTTTCATTGGCCATCTTTTAAAAAGATCAGTCTGTGTTTGCTGTCTCTGCTCCTTACTTAATATTCTTCTGTTATTTCCCAGCTCTTAGCCTCCAGTTCCACAGAAACATTTTTCTTCAGGTTGGCTGTGAAGCACAAGGCTGTTTTCACAGAACTTAACCCTCTCAACCTCTAGGAAAAGTTCGTCTTTCCAGGTTAAGGCTCTAATTCTAATTCACTGGTCTCCCTTTTTACTCATATCACTAATCACTAGGCATGAAAGAAAACCCAAAAGCCCACATGGAAAAGAAATGGACAGATTTGAGAGCATGAACATGAAAAACTTCCATCTGGTAAAGGTATCATTAACAAGATTAAAAACACAAAGAACCAAGAATACTTAAAATATGCGTGGTGAGTTAAAACTCATAATTATAGCAAGCTCTTCCAAATGATTAAGAGGCCTTAAAAAAACCAGTATGAAAACAGAAGAATCCACAGTAGGAAAATGGTCAGCATGCACAAATAGACAATCTTGAAAAATAAAAATGAATGAATCATTAACCATTTGCAAATGCATTCCACCTCATTAAAGCAATAAAAATTAAAACAATGAGATCATGTTTTGCTACTAGATTAACAAAAATTAAGAACTAAAACAGCGTTGTTACCCAGTGGCCATCCAGCAGCACAGATAAGCAAATTGTCATGTAGTAATAGTATGAAAGACTACACAGCATGGATAAAGCTCACCAGGGTAATGTTGAGCCAAAGAAGCCAGACACAAAAAAGGATACCTTCCACATTTCCATTTATACGAAATTCAAACAGAGGCAAAAGTAATATGTGATGTCAGATGTCAGATCAGAGAAGTAGAGGAGCTGTGATTAGCCAGAGTGGGGCAGGAAGGGTCCTCTGGGGTCTAGTCATGTTCTTTATGCTGCTAATTCTGTAAACATTCAATGAGCTCTTCTCTATGATTTATGTGCTTTTCTGATTGTATGTTATACTTCAATAAGTTTTTATTTCTAAGGAGACTGCTGTCAAGTTTTGGAGAAGGGAGGCTTCTCATTTACTCACAGTTTGGTTTAAATTTTGGAGGACATTTGCTATATAAATGTGCCTACTTTTAATCCAACAATCCCCTTCTAAGAATTTACCCTAGGGAAATAATAGAAAAAAAGTGCACACACAAAAATGGATGTAAAGCATCTTACTACGCAGATGGACAGTGACTGTGAAGGGGTATGTGGGGGGGACTTGGGTAAGGGGGGAGCCTAGTTAACATAATGTCTTTTATGTAATTGTAGACTAATGGTACCAAAATTTTTTTAAAAAATGGATGTAATGCTGACTTATTTATATTGTGACCATGGCATCAACAGAAAATTGGGCCTGTAAATCACAGCATGTCTATTCAATGGAATATCATGAAACCATTAAAATGAGGTCAACGTGAATTTTTGTTCTGAATTGTACAAGATGTTCATAATACTGGAAGATAGCGTAGTATGGTTCCATTTATAAAAAATATTACAAGTTTCTACTATGCATATGCAAAGACAAGAAGTCTGAAAGCATACACATCAACTATTAATGGTGGTTTTCTCTGGGGTAAGGGCTAGGGAGGGACAGTGGTGAGATTACATCCTTTTCCTGTATCATTTGACAGGACTATGATCACCACAAAAATCAAAGTTTTTTCCACGGGGGAGGAAGGGAAGTATACTCAGCTGTTTTCTACACTTTTCATGAAAATCCTTCAAACTAGCTCCCCTTACCTCTTAACCTTCCAGGAATTTTCCCAGAACTCCCACCCCCAGGCCCTTGAGCCTCTAACAGGATACTTAATCCCAGGTATGAATGCCCTCTGTCTCTCTGTCTCTCTGTCTCTCTCCCTCCTACAAACTCTTAAAGGGCATACTTTATCTTTAATCTCTGTATTCTCATGGTCTTACACAGTTCCCAGAACACAAAGTATCCAATAAATGCTTCTTGGACAAATAAATATTTAAATCTCATCTCCGGTTGCTGTAAAACTAACCAACCAGAGTTCTCAATTCCTCATCTGAACCACCTGCGGGATATAAAGAAATGTAGATCGCAACACCCATCTCGAACTTTGAATAAGAATTGGGTAGGAGAGTGGGGGTCAGGAACTGGGCTGGAGAATCAACTCTTAACAGACCTGGGTAATTTTGGTCGGGGGTCAATTTGGCAAATTATTTAATGATACTCTGATCCTTATATAAAGGGTATGACAATGGCATTGTAGGATCTCCCCAAGGGTAGAATCTCCCCAAGGGAGGACGCCACCCTAATTCACTCACAGAAGACGTCTCTTGATGCAACAAGCAAGAGGATTTTATTCAAGAACTAGCTTAGTATGTATAATTAACTGACTGAGGCTAGCTGACTAAAGGTCACCACTGCTGGTGTTCATGATGGATTAACTTGTTTTTCAAGGCCTCACCCAGTTCCAGTTTTTCTTTCACAGTCATATACTCAGAAAAATAGCTTCTAGGCTCCTAAGATGGCTACACTTATGCTAACCTATTTCTATTTTTACTTAATGTTAGATTCTACAGCATATAGTATTGCTGTATATTCACAGATCTAGAATAGCCTTTCACACCCAACAAAAGTAGTGGGAATGTGTGAAGGGAAGCAAAACTCATGGGCAAAGCAGAACTAAAAATTGTCACCCCCTGCTCGGCATACCAAGGACACCAGGATACAAATTGTGGGCTAAAGAGTGGGAGACTGAACCGTAATTCCACCCTCACCCCTCCCACCTAAACTGCAGCACAAAGCTGTTGACTCAGCAAAAAAATACTTTTGAGTCCTGAGTCTGTTCACGTTCTAGTTTAGTATCTTGACTAGGTTACAGGTTATCTACTGTCTGAGCTTTAATTTCCTTATTGTTAAAAAGCCGATAAGAATACCTGCCTTCTGGGTCTCAGGCTGTGCTTGGGATTAAGTGAGATAAACTATGCAAAATACGAGGACAAAGCCTTCTACAACCCTCGTGATTACTTCACTTTATTTCATTTCTTCACCCCACCCACTGCCAGATTGTCCTCTAGGAAACCCTACAGTTTCCTTACCTTGATCTGGGAGAAGTCGGAGTACATTCCCACGGACACCCAGATCCTTTACGTAGCATGAGTCTTGGGATTCCCCAGCGGCTGCTGCTGCCTCTCGATACTGGAAAATTTTCCTCATGATATAAGGCACAGGTTGGAACTTCTGGGGTGAAGGCACCTTGTCCAAACCCAGAAACTGGATGAAGACAGAGTCCTGGAACTGGAATGTCTGGCCCCAAGCCAGGATTAACAGGCCCAGAGCCAAGACTGGCAGGGAGGGAATCATGGCCTCTGAGCTGCCCCAGTCTGGCTAGGCAGGCTGCAGGGAGCTCTAGCTCCTGACTGCCCAGCAATTCCAATGCGGCTAATTTATCTGATGTGAGATAATCAGGTGTGAATTGCTCTCTTCCCAGCTCCTCAAAGGCAATTGGATGTGAAAGACACAGACTTTTTTTTCTTTTCCCTTGCTCTCTCCTCTTCTAGAAAAAAGGTTCACAAAACATGTTTACCAATGCATAGACCTAACTACAAAAATCTGAGGTTTGTCAGCAGTAGACTAAGTGGAAGGGTGACATGCATTTATTTACTTAACAAAGATTCATTAGGCATCTATGTTCAAGACTCTGGGACAGGTGTTTGGAACATAGTAATGAGTGATTCAAAGTCTGGTCATTCATAGTCTAATTAGACAAATACATAGGTAGACTTCTATTAGACTGTATCCACAGCTTTGTGGGCAACCCCTCCCAAGGAAACTGATCTACACTCCCCATCTACTTTCAGCTCTAAAAGGGATTGAATTTTGTTCACTCACTTTGTTCTTCCGGGTGACAAGACAAGTCAGACTGACTTTTAAAGGTTCCTTTACTTATTAGCTATATGACATTGAGCAAGTCACTTAACCTTCCTAAGTCTTTGTTTTGTCAACCGAAAATAAAAACCGACCTAATCTGCCATAGCATCTGATTAAGTGATGTGTTTAAAGTGATCTGCACAACGCCTGCCGTATGGTAGGCACACACAGACAGTGTTCACAGAGGACCTAACTGCGAAGTTTACGTAGACATTTTTCAGCAAGACAATCAGGCATTCAAGGTTGGAGGAAGTCCGTGTGGAAAAGCACAGAAGTTTTGAGAAGATTAAGTGTGGCAGCATGTACCAATTTCTGTGTTTTTGTTTCATTTTACTAAACTACAAGATTTTCAAATGTTATTGAAGAATTAACCTGTTTGTTGCCAAAAGAGTTTTCATGCTTTTATGAGAAGAGGAACTTTATCATTTTATTACACTATTTTATCCCACGTATTATAAGAACTTGTTTCCCCTAAAGGAATAATGCAATGTTGTATCTAATATATAATAGTTTCCCATAATTGATGGGATAAAAATCTAAACTCTTTAGCATGGCATTTAAGTACGTTTCAGGCCTAGCACTCACATCCCTAGAGAGCTCCCTTCCTACCACCCACCATCATCAGTGTTAGTGCTCCAGTGTATTGACCTAACTGTAGTTCACCTATGAGCTCATTTCTTCTGAGAGCCTTTGCACACACCAAGTTCAAAGGTCACTTCTACTGCAAAAAACTTCCTTGACTCACCAAATTAGATTTAGATGTTTCTTCTTTCTCCCACTGACCCTTCCAGGGGCACACATGATAGCACTTAACACAGTGCCTTTCACCCAGCTGTGCCTGTCTCTCCCAGAGCATACGCTTCTTGGGGACCGGAATCTTGTCTTTTCATCTAAGGCCCTCCATCCCCCAGGAAAGTGTCTGGCAGGTAGTAGACATTCAATAAATGTCTGTGTGATATAGACATGAATGAAGGAATTGGTGCTGTTTCCAGAGTTCTCACTCTCCTAGATAGCAAGTTTTCCCTGTTCCCTTGTCTCCTATCTCCTCCTGCTTGCATCCTGATTAACACTTTTAATCTACAATCTCTGCCTGTTTTCAACAATGAGTAGTGGGTTGTACTTGATTTCTTTATTTAACTTGCATGACCTAAAGTCAGAGCTCAGACTACCTGGTTTAAATCCAGGTTCTACGACTCATTAGTTGTGTGATCATGGGCAAGTCACTCATCTGTGAAGAAAGACTAAACATTCTTTCTAAAGTGCTCAGGGAACCTGATGAGACAATGCATGTGCAATGCTCAGGACAATATCTGCCAGATGGTAAGCATTTGATAGACTAAATTTGTATATCAGGACCCAGAAAATGTAGGCCATTCCAGGGTCTGGCTCCATGTCGCAAACCTAAACCTAAGTCAGTCTGTGCTTACAGGAAACACCTATTAAGGAAACCTACCATACACCAGCCACAATCCTCCCGCTCAGCTTTAGCTCATTTTACCCTAGAAAATCGGAGCTGCCAATCTTATAAGGACATCTCCCACTTAGTCAATCATGCCTTGTTTCTGAGTTGCCTCTCCTAATGCTCTATAAAACTCATTCTTGCCCCAGATTCCTTTGGAATAGTGTCCGACTGCTTGTGAGGCCCTATACTCCCCCAACACATGGATTGTATTCCCCTTTCATAAAGGACATCAAATTCATTACTGAATTGTTTTAGTTTTATTATTTGACACACTCAAAAGTTAGCTGGTATAATTATTGTTATCATTGTTATCATTAGTATTTATTAAAGGGGAGCTTGATTTGATGTAGGGAAAGAAAGAATTGAGGGTGTGTAGTCACTAATAGAGCAAAAAAGCACCAAATCAAGAGTAGGAGGATCTGAGTTCATCCCAGCTCCTTCAGCGACCATGAAATCATGGGCAATTCACTCAGTGTCAGCATTTTATGATACATACCCAGGGCATGGACATTTTGTAAATAGAAGGATTTGAATGATCTGAGATGTCATAAAGGGTTAACCTATTTGCCCTCACTTTCTTTACCTAAGCACACAATGTTGAATTTGATCATCTTTAAGAGTTCTACAAACAAAAGATTGTAATTCTGGACTCAGCCCAAATAGAAAATCAGAAATGAGGCAATATGGCTAAATAGCATAGAACTAGTTCTGTTGTCATGGACTTAGATTAAAATCATACCCCCTGTCACCCACTGGCTGTAGGGTCCTGAGCAAACTGTTTCTCTGACCTTTGGTTTTCTAGTCAATAAAATGAGAGCGGTATCACTCCAGCAGCATTATTGTGATCATAAGCATGAAAAATATTCAACATCACTAGTCAAAAAAAAAAAGAGAAAGAAAAAAGGCAAATTAAAGCAATAAAATGTCTTTGTCTATCCAACTGGCAAGATGGAAAAAAAACAATAGCCTGGTAGGTGAGGAAGGAAGTATTATCATAAACAGGGCAGATCTGAGGTATTCATTAATTTAGCTGGAGGAAAATGTTGCATTTTTTATTAAAAGTTATTAAACAACCCATGTCCTTCTTTTATAAGGCATGTAGAGGGGTCATATTCATAAGAGACAGAAAACAGAACAGCAGTTGCCGGGGTCTAAAGGTGGAGAGGCTGGGAAATGGCAAGTTACTGTTCCATGAATTCAGAGTTTCTGTTTTGCAAGATGAAAATAGTTCTGGAGATGGTGGCGATGGTAGCACAACTGAATGTACTTAATGCTATAGAACTGTGCTAGGAATAATTAAGATGATAAATTATACATAACTTGCATTTTAGCACAATTTTAAGAAATAAATTTTTAAAATATCCATGTCCTTTAATTAGCAATTCCAATTCTAGATCATTGTTCTGAGCCACTAGAATGTAAGCTACACATGTGCAGGAAAAGGATGAGCAATTGGTAAATATTTGTGAGTGAATCAAACAATTGAAAGTGGTCAAAGAATAAAAATTTACTCATTTTACTATTATTTTTTATTTATTTTATTTTGGTATGATTAATATTCAATTACATGAGCAACCTGTGGTTACTAGATTCCCCCCATTATCAAGTTCCCAACACAAACCCCATTACAGTCACTGTCCATCAGTGTAGTAAGATGCTATAGAGTCACTACTTGTCTTCTGTGTGCTATATACTGCCTTCCCCGTGCCCACCCTCTACATTATGTATACTAATCATAATGCCCCTTTTTCCCCTTATCCCTCCCTTCCCACCATCCTCCTCAGTCCCTTTCTCTTTGGTAACTGTTAGTCCATTCTTGGGTTCTGTGAGTCTGCTGCTGTTTTGTTCCTTCAGTTTTTCCTTTGTTCTTATACTCCACAGATAAGTGAAATCATTTGGTACTTGTCTTTCTCTGCCTGCCTTATTCACTGAGCATAACACCCTCTAGGTCCATCCATGTTGTTGCAAATGGTAGAATTTGTTTTCTTCTTATGGCTGAATAATATTCCATTGTGCATATGTACCACATCTTTATCCATTCATCTACTGATGGACACGTAGGTTGCTTCCATTTCTTGGCTATTGTAAATAGTGCTGTGATAAACATAGGGGTGCATCTGTTTTTTCAAACTGGGCTGCTGCATTCTTAGGGCAAATTTCTAGGAGTGGAATTCCTGGGACAAATGGTATTTCTATTTTCAGTTTTTTAAGGAACCTATCTGCTTTCCACAATGGTTGAACTAATTTATATTCCCACCAGCAGTGTAGGAGTGTTCCCCTTTCTCCACATCCTCGCCAACATTTGTTGTTGTTTGTCTTTTGGATGGTGGCGGTCCTTACTGGTGTGAGATGATATCACAATGTGGTTTTGATTTGCATTTTTCTGATGATTAGCGATGTGGAGCATCTTTTCATGTGCCTGTTGGCCATCTGAATTTCTTCTTTGGAGAAGTGTCTGTTCAGATCCTCTGCCCATTTTTTAACTGGATTATTTACTTTTTATTTGTTGAGATATGTGAACACTTTGTATATTTTGGATGTCAACCCCTTATTGGATATCTCATTTATTAATATATTCTCCCATACTGTAGGATGCTTTTTTGTTCTACTGATGGTGTCCTTTGCTGTACAGAAGCTTTTTAGTTTGATATAGTCCCATTTGTTCATTTTTGCTTTTGTTTCCCTTGCCTGGGGTGATATGTTCATGAAAAAGTTGCTCATGTATATATTCAAGAGAGTTTTGCCTATGTTTGCTTCTGAGAGTTTTATGCTTTCACATCTTACATTAAGGTCTTTGATCCATTTTGAGTTTGCTTTTGTGTATGAGGTTAGACAATAATCTGGTTTCATTCTCTTACATGTAGCTGTCCATTTTTGCCAGCACCATTGTATATTCATGGCTCCTTTATCGTTTATTACTTGACCATATATGTTTGGGGTAATATATGGACTCTCTATTGTGTTCCATTGGTCTATGGGTCTGTTCTTTTGCCAATACCAAATTGTCTTGATTACTGTGGCTTTGTAGTAGAGTTTGAAGTTGGGAAGCGAGATCCCCCCTGCTTTATTCTTCCTTCTCAGGATAGCTTTGGCTATTCAGGGCTTTTTGTGGTTCCATATGAATTTTAGAACTATTTGTTCCAGTTCATTGAAGAATGCTGTTG